CGTCAAGGAACTGGCAGAAAATGTTTCAAGACGGCAACGTTTTCACCGTACTAGGAATTGTGAAGAAGTGACCAGTGCCTGCTGTCGAGTGATTGAGTGTGTGGGAATGTTCTAGAAACCACCTGTTCTTATGGATGAGTTTCTGTGTGTTTGGGGAGGGAGTGTTTCTTGTGTTTTACGTCGCATTTTTGCTCATAATTCAAAACTTCCCATTTGTTATTTCAGCTCCATTTATTTCAGTAAATCTCTGAAAACAGTCAAACATTTGAAAATCTCACTTCATCTTCAATCAAATTGGTTACTTTGCCTCCAAGCTGATGCACAATTTGTTTGTTTACCTTCCTCACAGTTAACATGGTGACGATCTTCGTCCTGCTCCATAAAGATTGTGGATTGTCTCCATGTGTCAGACTTTACTTGGCGGCCATGGCAGTGGCTGATCCAGTGGTCATTATCCTCGATCTGATATTGAGACACATTCCGATTGTCTGTAAGGAACAGTGTTATTTCCTAGATTCCATCCCCGTGTGTAATATCCAGGCCATCCTTGTTTATGCAGCCACTGACTGTTCTGTCTGGTTCACTGTCACTTTCACCTTCGATCGATTTGTGGCCATTTGTTGCCAGAAGCTGCAAAGTAAATATTGCAGTGAGAAAACGGCAGCTGTGGTTCTGGGAACAGTGATTGCGCTGAGTTTTTTAAAGAATATTTTCTGGTATTTTATGCTCTCAGGTCAGTATTTGCTGGAGAACTCTCCCTGATTTTGTTTTGTAACAATTAAAGTTCTTTACTCCCGTGTCTGGACCACAATCGAGTTCCTCCACCACATTATAACTCCAGCTCTTCCATTTCTTCTTATTCTGCTGCTCAATGTTTTCACCATCAGACACATTTTAGTTCCAGCAGAGCCCGCATGAGACTCCGGGCTCACACCAATGGGAACATTCAGTGTAACACTGAAATGCAAAATCGAAAAAAATCCATCAGTTTACTGCTTGTGATCTCAGCTAATTTCATCCTATTATGGTCAACGTTAATGTTTTTTTTCTATATGGTATCGGATGTGGTTTATTGGGTATGATTCTCTATCTAGATTACTTTGTGCGGGAATTGGACTTCATGCTGCATCTCCTCAGTTGCTGCACAAACACTGCCATTTATGCCGTGACCCAGACTAAGTTCAGATAGCAGCTGAATAATGTTTTGAAATATCCTCTTACTCAAATTAATCAATCAATCAATCCAGGATTTTCTCATTTCAGTTCAATTTTTCAGCAATGAATTGGCCTGTCACTATGTCGCTAGCTTGTCCAACTTTATCCCACATGGGGTTACTGGGACACCTTTCAATGTTTCTATCAACCCAGGGGCCAGTTCACTTCCTATATCTGTAACTTCAATTTGTAAATAATAAAAATATTCATTTACATATCCTAAGCAGCAGAGCAAACTATATTTCATGTGTCTTTTCGTTGAAGAAGCTGAGCTGGAAAAAGACAGATTCGGCCTCAGGTCCTGGTCCTCAGGGAAGGGGAGGAATCGGGGGCCAAGCTCAGGAGTGGTGTTTAAGTCACTCTGTCCTTGCTTTCACCTCTGGATCACCCACTCTGACCTGGCATCGGCAGAATTCATCCCTTTCCCTCTCCTTTTGACCCTTGCAATATCACTCCCCAGTTATAAGGTACCTCTTTCCGACCCCTCTTGCTGTTTCCTTCTACCACACTGCGCTCACCACTCTCCCTCTGTCCGTCTTTCACTCTCTCCACCTCTGATACCCTCTCTCTCGCTCTGTCCATCTCTCACCCTCTCTCTCTTCTCTCTCTATTCCTCATTCCACTCCACTTTTTCCTCTGTCCTCGTCCCACTATCTCTCTTTCCTCTCTGCCTCCTCACCCTCTCCCTCTCCTCTCTCGGTCTCCTTCTGTCCATGTCCCTCTCTCTCGCTTCCCCCATCTGTCTCCTTCTCTCTCCGTGTCCCTCTCTCTCACACTCTCTCTGTCCTGTCCTCCCTTCCCTCTGTCTCTCCCCCTCTGTCGTCCCTCTCTCTCCCTGTCTGTCTCCTTCTCTCTCACTGTGTCACTGTCATTCACTCTGTCCCGTCCCCCTCTCTCTCCCTCTATTTCTCCCTCTTTCTCTCTCTGTCTTTATGCCCTCTCACTCACTCCCTTTGTCCCCCTCACTCAACCTTCTCTCTCTCCGTCTCTCTCCCTCTGTTCGCCTCTGAGCAGCATCTCTCTCTCCACTTCTGTCCCCTTCTCTTGCTCTCTCCTGCCACTCCTTCTTTCCTCCCGTCTCTCACTCTCTCTCCTTCTCACTCCCTCTCGTCCCATCTGCCCCCACTCTCTTACCCCTTCTGACCCGCTTTCTGTTTCTCTCACTCGTTCCCATTTCACTCTCCCTCTCTCTTCCGGCCACAATCTCTCCTTCTATACCCTCCCTCTGTCCTTCTCTCTGTCCCTGTCCCCCTCTCTTCCTATCTCTTTCCCCTTTGTCTCCTCTGTGCCCTTCTGCCCCCTTTCTCTCACTCCATCACTTTCTGTCTCTCTCTGTCCCCCGTCTTTCTCTGTCCTCTCTCTCTATCTTCTTTATCCTGCTTCTCACTCCCTGTGTTCCTCTCCCTCTCCTCTTTGTCCCCTCTCTTTACTCTCTCTCCATCTGTCCGTCCTCAATTTCTGTCCCCCTCTGACCAGCTCTTCTCTCTCTCTTCCTCTATCACCCCTTCTTCTCTCCCCCCTCATCTGCCCATCTGTCCCCCTCTCTCTCCCTGTGACCCCCTGACACTCACCCTCTGTAAACCCCTGTCATCCTGTCCCTATCTCTCCCTCTCTTCCTCTGCTAGTCTCTCTCCACACTGTCATTCTTCCCTGCTGCCATCTCTCTGTCCCACCTCTCTCTTTTCTCACTTCGACCCTTTCTCTCTCTCTGCCCCTCCCATCCTTCTCTCCCACTCTTTTTCCCCTTTGTGCCCCCCTCCCCGTCTGCCTCCTCTCTCTCACTCTGTCACTGTCTCTCTCTGTTCTGAGCTTCCCTGTCTGCCCCCTCTTTCTATCCTGTCTCTCCCTCACTCTTCTCTCTCTCTCGTTCTCTCCCTCTGCCACCCCTTCCTGTCCCCTTCTTACTGCCTCTCTCCCCATCTGTCCCCCTCTCTGTCACCCCCCTCTCTCACTCCCTCCATCCCTCCTCACTCTCACTCTGTCCACCACTGTCCCCC